GTGCCAGCTGCGCCGGCCAAGAGCATCACAAGACACGAGTCGCGACAGGGGAGGAGGGCACCGCCCCGCCCACCTGATTTGGCCAACGTTGCGCATACGCCACGTGAGCCGGGCCAGGTTAAAAATGGCATTAGTGGGCACTTGAGGTCAAATAGAGTACTCCAGTACCCGGTTTCTGATGAATTCGGCGGGGAAGGGGCCTGGCTAGCCCCTCATGTACCTGTCGTGCCAGAACTAGACAGCAACACCAGGCACCGACATCGGTTTATATATAAGCGGTGCCCGCCGACGCCGATGCCGATGCCGCCTGCTCTCATAATTAACTAGAGTATTTTTAGCCAGCAGAATTTAACAGAAAGTAAGCTAGAAAACACATTAACATCGACAGTGTCGTCGTCATCTCTTTTTGCGGCCAGCCAAGCAGCGTATTTCGACGAATCTGGCTGGAATGGTTGGAGTTTTTGGCCAGAGGCTCCACTACTCCCACCGCGTGACTGGCTTGTGGTGCAACCTTTCCCGTTTCAGAGCCTATTTGCTTAGGTTCATTCATAAATTCTATCAACCCCCCAAGATAACTCTGAGATTGTGCAATAGATTAGCTTGTGGCTCGTTAGCTGGCTACCTGGCCAAGTTTTTTCCCCCGAAACGGAAGCAGAGTAATTACAGGTGAGATACGAGCAGACTCCGGGGTTCAAGGCACTCGCTCGCCCGCCTCCTACCTTTTGTTTATATTATTTCGTATTCAGCCGGCCCACAGGGAAGCAGTGCCTTTGTTTTTCGCTGATAAGCGAAGATTATTTAGATCCCTTTGGAGGCCGAGATGTTTGCGAGACTTGCTCTTTTAATATTTCCCATAAAAGCCCTGAAATTCGTCAGTGATTTTAGAGACTTCTCCCCCAACGGGCTCCTTCCGCCACTTTGCTCATTGAAATGTCGGCCCCCAGAAGCCATTCCCCAAAGCAAACGCTTAATGCCAATTAAGAATATTAATTTCATTTGCAGACTTGTATCGTTTAGCTCGTTCTGGTCCCCCTCCTGGTCTTCCAGCTGCTTTTGTGACCATTTTCCGGTTGCATCCATGTCCTGCCTACACTCGGAGAAAAGGAGCCTAGATGGCCTGTCCAGTTCCTAGGGCCTGCTAGGCTTGGGCTCAATTATTTCCAGTGGGCTTGCTCCTCCGAAGCTCTTGAATCTTCAATGACAGGCCGGGAGTGGAAAATCCCCGATTTTCTCCGGGTGGAGCTTAAAGGCGACCCCCTAGTTGGCATTGGCCCGCCCCTTCGGTTGCTATTGTTAATATTCATTAGCTTAAAATCCTTTTCTCGAGCTGCTCGAGTTGGCATTTCGTAGCTCAAGTTGCTGCTGCCACTTCCCCGGCCCGGGGATGCTCAAAAGTTGTTGCCACGTTTTCAATTCCAATGCGCGGGCATTAATCGCAATCACAAACGACGACCATGACGAGGACGAGGATGAGGAGGTAGAACCAGGTCCGAACCGATGGCCAGGACGTGCGGATAATTTTTCATTTCGGAGAGCTCAAATGGATTCCTCATTGGCTTAAATGTGCAAATGAATGGTCGGTGCTCGCACATATTTGTGTGCAAATTTCGGACACAAATGCAAATACTCGCTCTCATAGCTGGGCAGGATCTATTTAAAGCACAGGGCTGTGGGCGATTATTAATGGAAGCTCAGAGACCATTTGACGCCTGGGGGGGCGCCTGGCAGGTCCTTGAAGGGTTAACGCATCAATGGCTTGTAGTCCCCGAAAGAAAATCATCGAATCAAATAAATTCAAGAAGTGTACACTCCATCGGAGCTATTTGCATGCCAATTTCGAACACGAAACCAACTGAAGTGCATCTCCGCTCCCTGGCTTCGGCACCCTTCTTAATTCATTTCGGGCTATAATATTTTTATTTTTATGATGCCAAAGTCAAAGAGCTGGTAGCTGGTAGCTGGCGAGTGCAAACACTAACGCAAGTGTCACTATTCAAATATACGTAAAAACATTTCAAGGCTTTTATTGATTTTGTCAATGAGGCCAGCGAGAGGTGCTGACGCTGCCCCAGTTGAATCTCGATCCGTTCCTGCCCCATAGCCCCATCGCCCCATCCGTGGCGACAGTCAGCCTTTCATTGGCCTCCGCCCCCGCCCGTCATTTTCATTCATTTTTCCACCTTTTTCCCACCCAATCATCCAATCCAACCAACCCACCAACAGACCCGCCCTTGCCGGCAAAGTCCAGACCTCTTCAAAGGCGGTCGACATTAAAATTAATCACATTTGAATTGAAATTGCGTTTCAAGTTCTGTGTTTGTGGCGTCTTTGCTGTCGCATCGCTTTGTTTTGTGGCTCGTTGTTTGGCGTCTAATTAGGAATTAGGAATCGGGAGTGATTGCCAATTTTTCAGAGACGGTTCGCCACCGAGTGTGGCTCCAACCCGAAACTATGTATAAGCTGAAAACTTTGCCATTCTACTTGAGTGCTTATTCTGGCTCAGTAGCTTGCGAGTTAAACAGTTCTTCCAGAGGATTATAGCTCCTGCTTGGATGAACTGGACCGTGGCGCTGGGTCGCTGGCTCGCAAGCCTTTAAAAGGCACTTGGGAAATGCGAATCCTATTGATTTCGCCCAAGTATTTGAGGAACTATTAGCACAAAGCCAGCTCGGCATTGATTTCCATCTCGCTGTGCACTGGCCGAGGCGAGGCGAGGCGAGGCAAGGCGGACGTTGTGATATTTTAAGACTGCAGTCGGCAAATTGATTTGCAATTCAATTTCGCAACTTTCTGAGTGGAAAGCAGCACTTCCTCCTGCCCCGCCCTCTTGCCATTTCTTGCCAATCTCCCGGCCTCTTCCGCCCAGTATTTGCAGGCGTTGAACGATGGCTGGCTGGCTCGGAAAAGTATTTAATATTTTTAGATAGACAATCTGTCAGATTGCAGGTCATAGGTCGCGTCAAGCACACGGACACGCTAAATTTACCCTCAAATCAAGCGTGAATGCCAAATTTTGAGCAGCGCGTCAGAAACAGCGCACAACACGCGCTTAAAACGCGCTTAAAAAGCCACCTCCTCCGCAGGGAGGAGGGCGTGGCAGGAAAAAGGATACTAGGCGGAAGAGGTAAAAAGCTGCCGCAAACGTTGACAATTGACATGGAAAATCTGCAGAGCGCTTCAAAAGGCCAACCTGCAATTTTCCAGGCCAGCAGGGCCCCAACCAGCCAGCCCTCCCCCGGGTCACGTACTCGGCACGCAGTGCTCTGTAAAAAATGTACCTCATACACACATACATATACATACATATATTGTACATAAACGAGTCACATTTCTCCGTATGTACTCCATCTGATAAGAATTTAATTACATTGCCTATAAAGTATAAACAAAAGGTATACAGCGTATTAGCCGCACACGCACGGATAGAGTCCGGGTGTGCGTTGAAGCGGGACAGATAGAGGGGGGCGGTGGCGGCTATGGGGGCGTGGCATCTTGATATCCAAACAGTGGCCGGTCAAAGTTCCCTTTCCCCAAAGCGGTGGGCTTCAGAGACTTTGAAATGCCCTGCCGGGATTTAAAGCGGATGCCAAGTGGGTTTTGGCTTCAAAATTTAGACTCATAGGGCAGTGATTGTTCCTCTAGCTGTTTGCACACTTTCCGGATAGTTACGAGTGCCAAAGTACCCTACCGACAAGGGAGGGTAGTGTACAAAAATCGTATAATAATGAGCTCGAACCAAAACAGAATCTCCGGCAATCTTTTTGCGCCATAATGACGGGCGCGGACACAAAAACGGTCAGTAGCAGAAATAGAAACAGAAGTCGCGGCAAAACCGCATCAGAATCAGAATCGGAATCGGAATCAGAGTCGGTATCGGACCATCGGAGTCGCAGAAGCCGGAATTGGAATGCAAATGAGCGGCAAAAAATGAACGAATGAATGCCTAATGAAGTGAAGTGAAATGTAAAACGCGAAAAAAGCAACGATTTCCAGCAAGAAAGTCACTCCAAAGACCATGTTCATATCGTATCTGAGCAGTGAGAGTAACGACAGCAACAATATCCAGAGTACCAGTGCCAGTACCAGTGCCAGCGCCAGTCCAGGCCCCAGGACTAGCAACTGCAACAATATTGGCGATATTGCAAGCGACTGCAGTGGCCAGCAACAAGCCTGCAACAATATCAGCTGCAACTGCAACAATATAACAAATAGCCACGTCAGGAGCTCCACTTGCTGTGGCAACACCCACAGTGGTAACTGCAACATTGACGGCAACGGCAACGGCAGCAGCAATAGCATCGGTGGCAGCAACATTCTGGCATCGGTTTATGGCATGGAGCGATTGCTGCACGCGGTGCGCGAGGAGTTCCAGACGGAGGATGAGCTGGAGGCGGAACAGGACGACGAAGGAGGAGTAGACGCGAAAGGATGTATCGCCCACAGGAGCAGCACTAGCAGCAGCAGCAGCGATACCTGCAGCAGTGACACATCCTCCCTGCAACTTCCCCTGCCTCTGCCGAGTGCCAGGAGGCGACTGCAGCGTGGGGAGAGCTTCGGCTCCCTCACAGGACCCATGGCGGCCTGGACAGAGGAGGGTATTGTCGGGGGCGGGTCCTCTGCAGCTGTGGCGGGAGGCGTGCCGGGCGCCCCAGTGCGACGCTTCCGCCGCTCCTCCATCGGCATACAACGGAAGTCGGCCTTCCGGCAGCGGAAGCTCGATTCCCTGGGGGCGTGGCGGCGGAAGAGGTGAGTCCGGGGAAGAGCAAACATCAGCCATATGATATACCCATAAAAGTATTCCTTGGAGGAGGAATGTCCCGGGGATGACACTGCGGGGGGGTAAAAATAGAATCTATTCTCCTCCTCTAATCGCACCTTTGCAGGACACCCATTCTCAGAACTTATCGAGAGCCAAGCCAAAGAGTCCTTTCTGCGAAGCACTTGAAGTCCTTGTAATCCTGCTTTCACCTTTCCCCTCTCTCTCTTTCTCTCCCAACAAGCAGGCGTACCGCTTCGGCGAGCAACTCCCGGAGACCGATACGGATTGTGCCCGACTGGACGGAGAACGCGGTGCAGGGCGAGCACTACTGGAAGCCCACCTCCGCCTCCGGGGATCTCTGCTGCCTGAACGAGGAGTGCATTGTGAGTACCCCTGTCCCTCCCTCCTCCTGCCCCTGTGCGGCGGGGGCCTTCCGTCAATTCAATTAGTGCCACAGAACCGACAACTGAAAGGGGGGGGGGCTCCATGTGAGTGTAATTTATTTATTGCGTGCTTGTCCAACATTCACGCAATAAAATCCGGATAAAGCCAAGTGGGGGCCAGTAGCGGCGGGGGCTGAGGAAGAGCGATGGGCGTGTCATCAGTTTTGGGCAGCCCAGCCGAAAGTAACAGAAGAGTGCTTTATCAGGCTCGTTGTCAGCAGAAGCGTGGGTGGAAGGCCTGTCTAATCTCAATCTCCATTGGCACAATAAGATAGTAATAGTATACACCTTTTCCGAGGAGGTCCTCTGGTGGGGGGGAGGAGAAAAGGCTCCCCAACAGTTATATTCCGTCATATTTAAGCTGAAAGCTGGGAGTTGAAGCCTAGCAGGTGGTTAGTCGATGTCCCATTTAAAGAGTCAAGCGCAGGCACGAGAACTGTAGGCATTGGGCCACCGCGGAGGTTCCTCGGAAGCCTCTCGGAGGAAGCTGAAACCGCAACGCCGTCGACAATTAATTGCCAAAGTTTGCTTTGGCAAAGTGACAGCTCCTTCCTTTGGCTGCGGTTTGGGACGGAAGGCCGCGAACACCTAATTGGCACTCCCAAAAATAGGCACCTCTTGTAGCGGACTCGCACTCATGTTCACCTCCTCCTGCAGAAGAGCGGCCAGCGGATGAAGTGCTCCGCCTGCCAGCTGATCGCCCACCAGAACTGCATCCCCCTCGTGAACGAGAAGTCGCAGCTGGCTTGCAAGCCGACCTACCGGGACGTGGGCATCCGCCAGTACCGGGAGCAGACCACCACCCACCACCACTGGGTGCACCGCAAGCTGGAGAAGGGCAAGTGCAAGCAGTGCGGAAAGGTAAGCCAGAGGTTCCCCAACCTCTTCTTTTACAGTATTAGCCCCCAATGGCTTTTGCGTTCAATAACTATGCTGGTGATTTGCTTAACATATCAATATTTATATTTATGCTTCGCCGAGAATATCATATCATATCATATCATGTCATACCATATCAAAGTGTGGCTCCGCTAGAGCCTCATTAACAACAAGCCAACTTCGGGCGGAGTCGAAGTTTAATACCCTTGCAGTTGCAGTTATTTATCGCAAATATGGCATATAGTAGGACGATTCGGGACAAAATATTTTTTCTCGATTTTTTGCCAATTTTTCCTGATGGGATCCCTTGAAAATGGGTTTTTCCCCTATAGGGCCCACAGTGATTGCTATATCTTCCCCAATTCTTATCCGATTCTCAAGCGGAGTACCTTAAACGATTTCTAGATCGATTTGCCACCATTCTGCATCAAAATCCTGAGGCAAAATATTTTTTAGATTTTTTGTCCATTTTTCCTGGTGGGATCCCTTGAAAATGGGGTTTTCCCCTATAGGGCCCACAGCGATGTCTATATCTTCTCCAATTCGCATCCGATTCTCAAGCAGAGTACCTTAAACGATTTCTAGATCGATTTGCCTCCATTCTGCATCAAAATCCTGAGGCAAAATATTTTTTAGATTTTTTGTCCATTTTTCCTGATGGGATCCCTTGAAAATGGGGTTTTCCCCTATAGGGCCCACAGTGATTGCTATATCTTCCCCAATTCTTATCCGATTCTCAAGCGGAGTACCTTTAACGATTTCTAGATCGATTTGCCACGAATCTGCATCAAAATCCTGAGGCAAAATATTTTTTAGATTTTTATCCATTTTTCCTGTTGGGATCCCTTGATAGAGACTTTATAGGGTCGGAGATGTCTCCTTTACTGCGATGCACACTTTTGGCCGAAATTATAATACCCTCTGCAAGGGTTTTAAAAAGCATGATATCATAACCACACCTAACACTCTTGCCCTCGAGCCGGCTGTAGAAGACATAAGGTGTAGTGCCAGAGACCCTTGCGATAACGGCTATCCTATGTGATCCACTCACTTCTTATTTATTAAGCAGGCAGTGCAGAGCAAGCTCTTCGGGTCGAAGGAGATAGTGGCGTTGTCCTGCGCGTGGTGCCACGAGATCTACCACAACAAGGAGTCCTGCTTCAACCAGGCCAAAATTGGCGAGGAGTGTCGTCTGGGTAAGTTTTTTTCCCCTGCCTGCCGTCCCTACTTGGCAGTCCTTTTAGAAGAACCCATGCCACTGTCCCTTGATTAATTACGTGACGTGCATGCAAATAAATGGCGGTTTGTTAACTTAATTAGATCCACTGCTGTACCGTATCGCTCTCAACAATAAGACCATTAAAAAAAAAAATTAAAAAAATAAATAAATAAAAAAATGATTTGTGGGGCTTTTAGTTTTCAAGAAATTAAAATTAAATCAGAAATTCAGAAGAGAGAGAGCCTATTGCCAAGCTACTAAAGCAGATTAGTCTTTTAATTAAAATTTAAAACAAACTAAGTCAATTCCGCCATTGAAATAATATAAAAATTATAAAACAAAAAAGTTAAAATAAAATAAATTAAATTTTTATGCCCTTAAGTTTGCAATAAATTAAAATTCAAAAAACAGAAAATCACCGACGAAGCAAGTCAACTTCAAGTTTGGAAGTTAAATATTTAAACAAAATAAAATAAATAAAAGTCAATCACGAAATGACTCGGGTCCTTGCGTTCTACCGCCTACTTCAACAATGATCCATTGAAAAAATTTAAATAAAAAATTTCATATAACAAGTAAAAGGGTTTGTAGGCCTTTTAGATTTCAATAAATCAATAAATGAAGTTAAAATAAAATTAGAAAATCAGACACGAGTAATGTAACCCAATCGATGCAGGCCCTCTGTAGTTGTTAAATATTTAAACAAAATAAAAAAAATAAAAGTCAATCAGGAAATGACTCGGGTCCTTGACTTGCGTACCGCTGTTAACTCCAGCAGACTAGATCCATTGAAAAAATTTAAATAAAAAATTTCATATAACAAGAAAGTAAAAGGGTTTGTAGGCCTTTTAGTTTTCAGTAAATAAAATTAAAATAAAATCAGAAAATCAGACACGAATAATGTAACCCAATCGATGCAGGCCCTCTGTAGTTGTTAAATATTTAAACAAAATAAAAAAAATAAAAGTCAATCAGGAAATGACTCGGGTCCTTCACTTGCGTACCGCCGCAGCAGTCAAACCTCGACGATAATCCATTGAAAAAATTTAAATAAAAAATTTCATATAACAAGAAAGTAAAAGGGTTTGCAGGCCTTTTAGTTTTCAATAAATAAAATTAAAATAAAATCAGAAAATCAGACCCGAGTAAGGTAACCCAATCGATGCAGGCCCTCTGTAGTTGTTAAATATTTAAACAAAATAAAAAAAATAAAAGTCAATCAGGAAATGACTCGGGTCCTTCACTTGCGTACCGCCGCAGCAGTCAAACCTCGACGATAATCCATTGAAAAAAATTTAAATAAAAAATTTCATATAACAAGAAAGTAAAAGGGTTTGCAGGCCTTTTAGTTTTCAATAAATAAAATTAAAATAAGATCAGAAAATCAGACACGAGTAATGTAACCCAATCGATGCAGGCCCTCTGTAGTTGTTAAATATTTAAACAAAATAAAAAAAATATAAGTCAGTCACCAAATGACCTTGATCCTCGACGATGATCCATTGAAAAAATTTAAATAAAAAATTGCATATAACAAAGTAAAAGGGTTTGTAGGCCTTTTAGTTTTCAATAAATGAAATTAACATAAAATCAGAAAATCAGACACGAGTAATGTAACCCAATCGATGCAGGCCCTCTGTAGTTGTTAAATATTTAAACAAAATAAAAAAAATAAAAGTCAATCAGCAAATGACTCGGGTCCTTCACTTGCGTACCGCCCCAGCAGACAAACCTGGACGATAATCCATTGAAAAAATTTAAATAAAAAATTTTAAATAACAAGAAAGTAAAAGGGTTTGTAGGCCTTTCAGTTTTCAATAAATCAAATAAAATTAGAAAATCAGACACGAGTAATGTAACCCAATCGATGCAGGCCCTCTGTATTTGTTAAATATTTAAACAAAATAAAAAAAATAAAAGTCAATCAGGAAATGACTCGGGTCCTTCACTTGCGTACCGCCCCAGCAGACAAACCTGGACGATAATCCATTGAAAAAATTTAAATAAAAAATTTTAAATAACAAGAAAGTAAAAGGGTTTGTAGGCCTTTTAGTTTTCAATAAATCAATAAATGAAATTAAAATAAAATTAGAAAATCAGACACGAGTAATGTAACCCAATCGATGCAGGCCCTCTGTATTTGTTAAATATTTAAACAAAATAAAAAAAAATAAAATTCAGTCACCAAATGACTCTGGTCCTTGACTTGCCGTACCGCCGCAGCAGACTAACCTGGACGATAATCCATTGAAAAAATTTAAATACAAAATTTTAAATAACAAGAAAGTAAAAGGGTTTGTAGGCCTTTCAGTTTTCAATAAATCAAATGAAATTAGAAAATCAGACACGAGTAATGTAACCCAATCGATGCAGGCCCTCTGTATTTGTTAAATATTTAAACAAAATAAAAAAAATAAAAGTCAATCAGGAAATGACTCGGGTCCTTCACTTGCGTACCGCCCCAGCAGACAAACCTGGACGATAATCCATTGAAAAAATTTAAATAAAAAATTTCATATAACAAGTAAAAGGGTTTGTAGGCTTTTCAGTTTTCAATAAATCAAAAAATGAAATTAAAATAAAATCAGAAAATCAGACACGAGTAATGTAACCCAATCGATGCAGGCCCTCTGTAGTTGTTAAATATTTAAACAAAATAATAAAATAAAAAACAGTAACCAAAAATAAGAAAAAGTTTTCAAAAAAATAAAATCAGCAAAAAATGCAGGTTCATTGCAAATTGCCAAGCTGCTAGGGGCCATGGGCCGTTCAGATATTATAAAATTAAATAAAAAAAAATAAAATAAAATAAAATATATATAAAAAACTTTACGGATAAAGTTTCGACACAAGTCTATAAACATGAGACTTATTGCACGTCTCAGAATATCAAAAAAAAAAAAGAAAATAAAATAAAAGGCGAACCAGAAAAATAAATGTGATCCGACTGCCACGAAGGCTGGCAGACGAATGAATATTTTTTGGCCGGCAGTCGACCTCCCAAAAAATTCCGATTGCAAACCGACGGCCAGGGCCTACTAGATCTTTCGATTTTTACTTTGACCCTTCTCAACACTTTTTGACCAACACTACTTATTGGCCATGTGTTGATACTGCCGGCAAATAGTGGCAAAGTGCGAAAAATTTAAAAAATACAGGGAGGATGCCTCCCAGGTCGTCTTTTTCCACCGTTTCTAATCAATTTAATTAGTCCCCTGCCCGGAGGCTCTCTTCCGTCCTCCTGGTATTTACAAACTACAACTTTATCGACGATTTCCGACCTGGCCACAATCCTGGTCTTCTAAAGTGTCTCAATGAGCTTCTTGTTAACACACTCTTCACGGCACGCCATTAGGCACACCGTCCGTGTGCTGAATAGGAGGAGGATGGGGGCAGGACGAGGCCTGTGGCCGGCCGAGCTGGGCTGAACGAAGACATCTTGACCCCCGACCCCACTCTGGAATTGTCTGGCTCGGGTCCTTTGTGTTCCGCTCACCAAGGCTGGCAAGCGGCCTCCATAATTGTCCCCTGGCATGTGGGCTATGCGGGCCACAATAGCCCCAAATAGCCCCCGACTCTGGCTGGGATTCTCCTTTAAAGGCCGCAAATTGAATTTAATTGGCTGGCCATCCTTAACGGCCTCCCCCTTACACACTCACCACCTTGGAGTAGACAGTTTTAACTTCGTTTTCGTGTGTCCCTGCAGGAAACTATGCACCCATCATCGTGCCCCCCTCTTGGATCGTCAAGCTGCCCAGCAAGGGAAACTTCAAGTCATCGATACGCGTCAGCAACAAGAACAATGCCGCTGCGGGATCCTCGGCCGGCGGAGGAGGAGGTGGAGGCGGGGCCGGAGGCAAGAGCAAGAAGCAGACCCAGCGCCGTCAGAAGGGCCAGAAGGACGAGAAGAAGGAGCCGCGCGCCTTCATCGTGAAGCCGATTCCCTCACCGGAGGTGATCCCGGTCATAGTCTTCATTAATCCCAAGTCCGGCGGCAACCAGGGCGTGAAGCTCCTGGGCAAGTTCCAGCACTTGCTCAATCCGCGCCAGGTGTTCGATCTCACCCAGGGTGGCCCCAAAATGGGGTGAGTATTCCGTTTTCCAATAAAAATGAGCTCCTTCTGACATATATCTTCCCTGCAGCCTGGACATGTTCCGCAAGGCTCCCAACCTGAGGGTGCTGGCCTGCGGCGGCGACGGCACCGTCGGCTGGGTCCTGTCCGTCCTGGACCAGATCCATCCGCCCCTGCAGCCGGTTCCCGCCGTCGGAGTGCTGCCCCTCGGAACCGGCAATGATCTCGCTCGCGCCCTGGGATGGGGCGGGGTAAGTGCACCAAGGGACCTTTGGAGAAACTATTACTCATTTGAATCCATTTCCTGCAGGGATACACGGACGAACCCATTGGCAAGATTCTGCGCGAGATCGGGATGTCGCAGTGCGTCCTCATGGACCGCTGGCGCGTCAAGGTCACACCCAACGACGACGTTACCGACGACCACGTGGACAGGAGCAAGGCGAACGTGCCCCTGAACGTCATCAACAACTACTTCTCGTTCGGCGTGGACGCCCACATCGCCCTGGAGTTCCACGAGGCGCGTGAGGCGCACCCGGAGCGCTTCAACTCGCGGCTCCGCAACAAGATGTACTACGGCCAGATGGGCGGCAAGGACCTGATCCTCCGCCAGTACCGCAACCTCTCCCAGTGGGTGACGCTCGAGTGCGACGGCCAGGACTTTACCGGAAAGCTGCGCGACGCCGGCTGCCACGCCGTCCTGTTCCTGAACATACCCAGGTAAGGGATTCCTTCTCTTCACTCGCAGGGGCAGTAACCATCTTCCTCCCTCAGCTATGGCGGCGGCACCCACCCGTGGAACGACTCCTTCGGCTCCACGAAGCCCTCCATCGACGACGGGCTGATGGAAGTGGTGGGCCTGACGACCTACCAGCTGCCCATGCTGCAGGCGGGCATGCACGGCACCTGCATCTGCCAGTGCCGAAAGGCGCGCATCATCACCAAGCGCACCATTCCGATGCAGGTGGACGGGGAGGCCTGCCGGGTGAAGCCCTCGGTGATCGAGATCGAGCTGCTCAACAAGGCTCTGATGCTCTCCAAGCGAAAGCACGGACGCGGCGACGTCCAGTGAGTGATGATCCCACGGAGTTTCCCAGAAGACCCCCCCTCTAATTCCTGTGTCTTTGCAGAGTCAATCCCCTGGAGAAGATGCAGCTGCATATCCTGCGCGTCACCATGCAGCAGTACGAGCAGTACCACTACGACAAGGAGATGCTCCGCAAGCTGGCCAACAAGCTGGGCCAGATCGAGATCGAGTCCCAGTGCGACCTCGAGCATGTCCGCAACATGCTCAACACCAAGTTCGAGGAGTCGATATCCTATCCGAAGGTCTCCCAGGACTGGTGCTTCATAGACTGTGAGTAGCACTGCCCATCCGCCACGTAGCACTCATAAATCCCCTCTTCCAGCCTGCACCGCGGAGCACTACTTCCGCATCGACCGCGCCCAGGAGCACTTGCACTACATCTGCGACATCGCCATCGACGAGCTGTACATCCTGGACCACGAGGCGGCCACGATGCCCCAGACCCCGGACCAGGAGCGCTCCTTCGCGGCCTTCTCGCAGCGGCAGGCGCAGAACGAGCGCCGCCAGCTGGACCAGGCCCAGGGCCGCGGCCCCGGCAGCACGGGTATGGACATGGGCGCGGGTGCGGGCGCGGCTTTCAGACGGCTGGGGCTGGCCGGGTGCTGGCCCTCGGCGGGCAGCCAGCACCCGGAACCGGAGCCGTTGCAGGAGCGGCTGGATGAGCTCCAGCAGCAGGTGGCCGAGCAGCTGCCCTACCTCGACAGGCGCATGTTCCTGCACCTCCACTTCCGCAAGCACCGTGTCGAGATCTGAACCTCCCCCCACCTCGAATCCCAGTCCCAGTCCCCGAACTAACCCCATTCGAGAGGGCGGTGCGGAGTGGAGGGGCTCTCGGTTCATATTTGTTTCTGCATTGCGTTACTTTTCATTAGAGTTATATTTTTCGTTGTCATAACTATCGTTCTCGTTGCCGGAGAGTGTCCTGCATGTTGAGTCATTGAAAGCGACACGATTGTAGCCATGAGATGCCCCCAGAGCAGTTGCCGTCGAAGCACTAGTCTATGAGTCTAGGATGGCATCCGAAGCTCTCTAGAGATACCTGTATCTTTAGAATCTTAGCCTTCACTTCGACTGCAACTGTGGGCATAGTGGGCAACCTACTAACCAAACACGCCACACAACACACACCACCTGCACCACACACCACACACCACACACCACACATATGTAACATAATACTGTCTGTTGAACTGTGAGGAGCCGAATACAGCTTAGTCCTTGCCACGATCGCATGTAAGTAGAGCATTAAATACGACCACTTCTGTCCCTAACTGGTATATAATCCCGGCTTACAGTCACAGTTAGCCGTAGCAAGGACCAAACCGTATTCGCAACGATCCCTAAACCAACAAACTAACCAACCACTCAACCACAACCCACCACAGACCACCACCACCATCCAGACCGAAACACCATCCAGAAAAAACGGGTACCCGCCGAACGGGTAGGTCCAATGCCTTGCCAATAGTGATTAGTCCTTTGGTAGTGGACACGTCGACTGAGTGTCCTGTTGAACTAGTTGTCTGTGTTGGCTGATTATTAGAAACTATCCCAGACTATCTATCGATATTTAGTTGTAATTGTGTGAATCCCTAAATTGCGCTTACTAACAATTTGTAACTCTCTTTTCGAATTTAAACGTCCGCCCACCCACACCAACGCCAACACCAACACGCCCACATCTTAACACACACATCTTGACACTTTTTTGAAACACAAAGATGAGGATTTGCAAATTGGCTCCAAGCCCATTAAAGTGATGAAGTGGAAGAGGTAAAAAGCGAACCCCTAACCCCCAACCAACCCCAATGTCCTTCACCGATCACCTCGCTCTCTCACCCGCTTTGATCATGGACTATCCTCCATCTGGAACACGTCTACTGTCCGCCTGTCCTCCTGCCTGTCCTCTTCTGCATCTCTTCCTCTCTTGCTTGACTCTTGACTTCTGATTTGATTTGATTCTCAATTAATGATTTCATAATTTCTGTTCGAAAACATCGCCTTACTTTCCGCATGCAGCAACAAAGATCGTTTGTTCAGTTTCAACGAAGATGTTTTTGGTTATGGATTCAGGTACTCCGTATAACTATCTGTCTCTCTCTCCTCACCTGGCTGTCTGTCGTGGCTATCTCTTTCTTTTTAGTTACACTCTTTCTTTCTTTCTTTCTGTCTTACTCTGTCTCAGTCGTAACTCGTATTCGTACTCGTACTCTTACTCGTACTCGTATCATTGACATTTCGATATCGAATCGCATTCGCCTTCGCCTCGTTTGAAGACAAACGCAACTGATGTCTGAACTTTTTTTATTTCTTTACTCTTCCATGAACACGAACCACAAAACACACCTGACACCTGACACCCCAAACACCCAACAAACACACACTCGAACACCACACATTCGAATAATAGCCCTATACTGGAGCAAACTTCCGATGCCGTACTACTAGCAGCCCAGAGCGGCGATCTCAATATGGTAGCTTAACTCTTTGCCAATTATCCTTAGACGCTAGAGAATGTATCTGTAGACGTAGCCTAGTAGCCCCCCCCCCTGGTCGATCAGCCTCTAAATGGTCTTCTTCCTCCTTCCAGTTACGTGCACTACATGAACAAGGATACTCATTACAGTCAGTGAACAAGAACGGACAGACGGCGCTGCACTTTGCTTGCAAATATAACCACAAGGACATTGTCAAATACATCATCTCGTGCGCCACTCGACGCGTCATCAACATGGCCGACAAGGAGCGGTAAGTGCTCGTACTCCCCCCTCATTCAGGACCTTGTCTAACCACCTTTCCTTTCCAGGGGACAGACGGCCCTCCATATCGCCGCCGAGCAGAACCGACGCGACATCTGCGTGATGCTGGTGGCCGCCGGAGCGAACCTGCAGGCCCGAGACTCTGGCGGGAACACAGCCATGATGGTGGCGTTCAACAAGAACGCCAACGAGATCGCCACCTATTTGGAAAGTAAGCAGGGCACCCAGCCCGTAGACGGCAGCTGGCCCGTCAACGACTCCAATACATCGCCGTCGGCCCCCTCCATGTAGAGAAATCGCTAGACACTATCGCTAGACACACAGCCTACACACCCATAACACGAACCCCCAAGGAGGATGCGTAATCTAGGCCCACTAATCTTGCGAATTTCTCCTTTCTCTGCCATCGAACCAACACCCACTTCGATCAACAACCATGGAAATGGAAACGGCAATGGTCACCACTTTGTAAATAAACTGAAACCTCAAAACATCAACCAACATTCCACACGATAACGTCCAGGTCAAGAGCGGTTCATGCACCTGGAGGTGCAGACCCGGATCTAAGGACGAAGGATGCTCGACGCAGGAAAGCATTCACCCACACGGAATACTTTTAATGATAATTGTATTTTTTTTTGTCAACTAATTTTTTGCTTTTTGTTGAACTAGCAAGTACGAGAAAACCAAACAAATTATACCATATATGATGTAAGCGAAAGGATTCAAACCACAAACCACACCCATCACTCAACACTCAACACCTAACACTTAACACCACATGGCACTTGAAACAGAAACAGAAAGCAGCAAAATCTAAAGAATATCACACTGTAGAGGAAGGCTAGCGAGGAGTCGAGGTAGGCAATATTTGATCCGATTCGATTTATTTTAATTTAAGACAGAATCAGGAGACCAGAATCAGGCGATCGAAATTTTACTAAATGATTAATGATTATATTGTGATATCTAAATTAATTACGCAAAATTATGAAGCGAGATCGAGAGCGAATTGATATTAGCGAGGAGCTTGCTGTACATAGGGAGGAATCAGACACACGCAGACACCATGAGCAAATATTTAGTCGCCCCAATTAACACTTAATACTTAATATTTAACACTTAAATGGATATCTTTTGGAGTTCGATCTAGGCTAAGTGAGATTCAATACTCTTGTCGAGAAAAACCAAATCGGAACAGGACGCAGGAGGCAGAGCAGCAGCACGATTAGTGGAGCAGGGGGATCCGGCGGCCTGGATCCCATTCCAGGAACATCGCAGGACCCCCGGCTCGCAAGCACACACAAAGTATACACACTGACACGGTCCCGATGCACAGACTAGAATGCACAACCCCTAGACATACCTGCCATGGTTCAGCCCCATACTATGTTATATCCAATGCGTTTCAAACCGAGAGACTTGAACCGATACCCGAGAACCAGTTAGAACAAAGACTATCCGCACTATCCGTACTCCATTACCTTGAGCCCCCCTATCTCTCACTGGAACACAAAACACGAGAAGCAAGAACACCTAACGTTAGAGAAACTCACATATACTTTATAGAATCAAAAGTAATTACGATACTTATATTACATAGTCGTTAGTCTAAACTAATATCAAATAATGATACGTATGCAATGTACAGTAGAAGGACAGTGCGCTCCTTCCGCTTCGATTCCGAATTCCGAATTCCTCGACCCCAGGCGCGAGTCGAGAGTCAATTAAGTTTACCACGTTTTTTTCCGCTTACGATCATAACTAGCTAATAGGTCATAGTAGACGATAGGCGTAGGCGTTAGACTGTAGCGACTAGCATCGATTGATGATTGATGAGGCACCCGAACGACTAGGTATCGGACACCTTTACGAGACGTGGCCGAACGGCGGCATGTCCTTGCCGCCCTTCCCCGGAGCCGTGGCTCTGGGTCCCGGGAAGCGGCCTGCGACAGGACACCGCCCCCATTCCGCCGTAATTATGTTTTGGATTTCGACACACGCAATGCACGCGTACGCGCAAACGAATCTCCTGCCGCTGCGGGAGGCGGCACACTCGCAGGATCGATTGGGACCCGGGCTGCCGGGTTTTTCGGGGCGAGCTGCCCGCGATGCCCCCCGAAGGTGTGCCCCGCCCACACGCAATCCGGGTCCCAAATGGCAGACACCGGCCTCTGCGGCGGCAAAGGATGCGTTAAAAATGAGTTGCCAGCGAATAGTTGAATTTAGGCAGTGTTGCGAGAGTGGAAGGAGGTTATAGGTTATAACACGGAAACGGAAACCTTTACGAGAGCTACATAGGAGCTCTCTTCTAGCCAAGCAGTCCTTTTTTCAACACAACTAAAACGCAGAACCAACTAAAATCAGCTTCAGTAGAGCAGAGTACTAAGGAATATTTAGCAAATGACAATCTAGAGAATTTAGAAAGAAAGCTGGGAGCGGAGAAGACGTTTGCTAGCCCCTTGAACTATGAACTATGCCACTAAACGACACCCAGAGGCCCAGAAAAGGCGGCCATTCTGTCACAACATGGTTAGTTTTAGGAAACCTATTGCTATTCTTTACACAGCGCTAAAAATTTATGAAATTGTAGTCGGAGGATTTTCGTGGAAGAAGGACATCCTGGGAGGATGGACGACAGGATAACTGTGGAATGAGGAGACAAATGCGAGGAAACAGGCTAGGAAAAGTGCCGCAACTGGGCACTTTCACAGCTGTTCGGAAAACAACCGGGTCCAAGCTAAATTAAAAGATATATTTTCATGGATTTTGTAAAACTTGAGAAGCCACAGATACAGATAGAGACACCTACATAATACACAGATAATACTAATACACACCCACACAAGGTACACAAATTGAAGGCATAAACTGCATATGCATAATGTGTATATAAGAACTATAGAAGCTATATATTTAAATATATATACAGACATATATATATTTTTTTCGAATCGTTTAAGTGAAGTGTTGAACAAAATATGAAGAGAACATGAATCGCAAGTCTTATGAAAACCTAGCTAGTAAGGCAACCCAAAATTGTAAAGGTCTCGATACAAATAAAAATACAGATACGGAAACGGAACGAGAAAATGCAAGATGCAGTTGCAGATGCAGATACAGATACAGATGGAAAACCTAATACCTAGCGAATGCCTAACGCTGTTTGAAGTAAAAGTAATACTTATTACAGTACACATACGGAAATATATATAAATATTTATATATATATATCGAATATATATATTTATATTATATATATAACAGTAACAATAAAGCATACATATATGTAAATGTAACTTATTTATTAACACAGTCCTACCTAGTCCCTGTAAATATTTCGAAGAACTTCAATCCGATTTCCAACTGATTTATATATGTGTACCATATGCTAGCTCAACAAAGGACAGACATCGAAGCTAAAGACAGGACTCTCCCCTCTACTGATATACAACTGCTATATACTATAACTTACTTTTAATATAAACTTACGCAAGTCTGAAAGTATTTCTATCGAAGAGTTCTAAACTGCTTTACTGTAAATTGTACATACACCTCTAGCTCTAGATGATTCGGACCCCCTTAGTCTGCTAGATACCGAGACATTGTAAGATACATCCCCACACTCAGACACACCCACACCCACACCCCCAGCCCCCTATCAATATATACATACACTCATATATTTACTTTTTTTGGATTAGTCACTAAGCATAAACTTAGAGATCGAAAAACAAAAGGCAACATGAATTACTAAGTACGATATGCACTGCAAGCACTGAGGAATTTGATTCAATTTTACTTAAGATTACGAAAAGCGAAAATTGAAGTAGCATTTAGAAATTACTAAATTACGAATATAAATTTAAAATTAATTTTTCCAGCTAAGAACCGGTCATGCTTTCAGTCAATTGAGTGGACTTTGAGAACGTTTTAGCATATGGATTGGCTATGCAGCGTGTATATATGTACATCACTCCCACAGAAACACACTAGTCCGATAATAACCCAGACATAGATGTACAATAGTTATTGAGATTCACCCTTAAAGAAAGCCTATCAATCTAAAAGCATGCTCTATAAATCTGTCCACCAAAATGACACTCCTTGGAGATGCAAAGACCGAACCCTTTCCCTAGAGAGTTCCTTACCTCGACAGTAACTTAAAAGAATTGTAAAATCAAAAACATTAATTATATACCCCAAATACTACCAACTTAAGCTAGCTAATCGCAAGTATTTGACCACCAAACGATATCATCCACAAAATTGCTTATAAATATTTTCCGTCACTCTATTACGAGGAAATAAATTTTTTTTGGTATTTCAAACTCAAAAACAATGTGTTTTATTGGCACACGGGTTTTTTTAACATACAATTGTTACACAATAATAATTTAAGTTGTAATTCTCAACAGATTCCGAGGAGCAAATGGCTTAGGAAACGAGGTTTCTCAGTGGAAGCGGGACGAAAATCCACTTGGATCGGGTAAGTGAAAAAGTTTCAATAAGCAACATAGATTTAATTCACTAACAAAAGAATGAAAAAATGTATTGAGACCACAAGTCCAATTTAAAATTTTCCCGCTTTAGATTTCAAATTTAAGGTGTATTGGAAAACGTCGGTGTATTGAAAAATGCTATCGATACTATTTCGCTTGCGACTTTATCGATATTTAATTGGACATCACTATGCAGACTTACTCATCTCTAAGCCAATTCGCTCATCGCTAAGCCGATTTTCTCATCTCTATCACCTCATCTCTGCCTTGATCCTCTGTGTCGCCTCATTTATGATGTTTCAAGTTTAAAAAGTTTTGCAAATCAAACAAAAGAGCCAGTAAGATGGAAAAGGAAATAGATAAAAGAATACGAGGATAATGAAATACATCGTCAAGCTAGGATCCTGGGGCATGCTAATCGTCATTCACAAGGCGCCCAACCAGTGCAGATTTGAATATCTTACAAATTTGACAGTGAAGAACAAGAATGAAGGCATTTATCAGTACGTTTATTGAAATCTTACTTAAATATATACAATAATCTCAAATTTCCTTTTCAGCTATGGAAAGAAGCGGGCTAAGAAGATACATTTTCGCAATGTGACCATAAACGAGGCACATATGTAAATACGATGTCTTCCGAGTTCCTACTCCGATATTTCTGGACCGGACTGTGGTGACAGTCTAATCTTTCTTCTTCCAAAGACTGTACAAATGTTAAAAACATTACTCCATTTATTATTAGAAACATATTTCCATCAAATTATACACTTAAAACAATGTAAATCGACTGCAACATCAACTAAACCGCAATCACAAGATGTAAATAAAGAAGATTTTGGTGCTTCGACGCTCTATTTATACTTTTCCGACGCTTAAACCGGTTGCGAATTATAAAATGGCGGGGGCATAACGATTTTGTACGATTTTGTTGAAAAATAAATTCTCCGATTTCGACAAAACTAGTATACAGTTCGACTAACATCGATACGCTGACTCTGAAAATGCGAAGCGTTGCCAGATCGGACGCCAAACGGCCGACATATGAGCTCTAGAAAGCTCAATTCTGCCCCGATCTGGCAACGCTTGATATTTTCGGAATCAGCACTCGAATGTCCACCGAACTGCATACCACGTTTATCGATATCGAACAATTCATTTTCGACCGTTTTTTCGCAAAAATGGAAAGGCCATCACGATTTTTTCCGATTTTGGCCGAAAAATTTTTTGTCCGATTTCGACGAAATTGGTATGCAGTTCGATAGACTTTGGGACGCTGATTTCGAAAATGCCAAGCGTTGCCAGATCGGACTACAAACGGCCGATATATGGACTCTACAATCTCTATTTCTGGCCCGATCTGGCAACCCTGCACATTTTCGGAATCAGCGCTCGATTGTCCATCGAACTGCATACCACGTTTATCGATATCGAACAATTCATTTTCGACCGTTTTTTCGCAAAAATGGAAAGGCTAACCATCACGATTTTTTCCGATTTTGGCCGAAAAATTTTTTGTTCGATTTCGACGAAATTGGTATGCAGTTCGATAGACTTTGGGGCGCTGATTTCGAAAATGCCAAGCGTTGCCAGATCGGACTACAAACGGCCGACATATGAGCTCTAGAAAGCTCAATTCTGCCCCGATCTGGCAACGCTTGATATTTTCGGAATCAGCGCTCGATTGTCCATCGAACTGCATACCACGTTTATCGATATCGAACAATTCATTTTCGACCGTTTTTTCGCAAAAATGGAAAGGCCATCACGATTTTTTCCGATTTTGGCCGAAAAATTTTTTGTCCGATTTCGACGAAATTGGTATGCAGTTCGATAGACTTTGGGACGCTGATTTCGAAAATGCCAAGCGTTGCCAGATCGGACTACAAACGGCCGATATATGGACTCTACAATCTCTATTTCTGGCCCGATCTGGCAACCCTGCACATTTTCGGAATCAGCGCTCGATTGTCCATCGAACTGCATACCACGTTTATCGATATCGAACAATTCATTTTCGACCGTTTTTTCGCAAAAATGGAAAGGCTAACCATCACGATTTTTTCCGATTTTGGCCGAAAAATTTTTTGTTCGATTTCGACAAAATTGGTATGCAGTTCGATAGACTTTGGGGCGCTGATTTCGAAAATGTCAAGCGTTGCCAGATCGGACTACAAACGGCCGAGATATGGGCTCTGGAATCTCTATTTCTGGTCCGATCTGGCAACGCTTGATATTTTCGGAATCAGCACTCGAATGTCCACCGAACTGCATACCACGTTTATCGATATCGAACAATTCATTTTCGACCGTTTTTTCGCAAAAATGGAAAGGCTAACCATCACGATTTTTTCCGATTTTGGCCGAAAAATTTTTTGTTCGATTTCGACAAAATTGGTATGCAGTTCGATAGACTTTGGGGCGCTGATTTCGAAAATGTCAAGCGTTGCCAGATCGGACTACAAACGGCCGAGATATGGGCTCTGGAATCTCTATTTCTGGCCCGATCTGGCAACGCTTGATATTTTCGGAATCAGCACTCGAATGTCCACCGAACTGCATACCACGTTTATCGATATCGAACAATTCATTTTCGACCGTTTTTCGCAAAAATGGAAAGGCTAACCATCACGATTTTTTCCGATTTTGGCCGAAAAATTTTTGTTCGATTTCGACAAAATTGGTATGCAGTTCGATAGACTTTGGGGCGCTGATTTCGAAAATGTCAAGCGTTGCCAGATCGGACTACAAACGGCCGAGATATGGGCTCTGGAATCTCTATTTCTGGCCCGATCTGGCAACCCTGCACATTTTCGGAATCAGCGCTCGATTGTCCATCGAACTGCATACCACGTTTATCGATATCGAACAATTCATTTTCGACCGTTTTTCGCAAAAATGGAAAGGCTAACCATCACGATTTTTTCCGATTTTGGCCGAAAAATTTTTTGTTCGATTTCGACAAAATTGGTATGCAGTTCGATAGACTTTGGGGCGATGATTTCGAAAATGTCAAGCGTTGCCAGATCGGACTACAAACGGCCGAGATATGGGCTCTGGAATCTCTATTTCTGGTCCGATCTGGCAACGCTTGATATTTTCGGAATCAGCACTCGAATGTCCACCGAACTGCATACCACGTTTATCGATATCGAACAATTCATTTTCGACCGTTTTTTCGCAAAAATGGAAAGGCTAACCATCACGATTTTTTCCGATTTTGGCCGAAAAATTTTTTGTCCGATTTCGACGAAATTGGTATGCAGTTCGATAGACTTTGGGACGCTGATTTCGAAAATGCCAAGCGTTGCCAGATCGGACTACAAACGGCCGATATATGGACTCTACAATCTCTATTTCTGGCCCGATCTGGCAACCCTGCACATTTTCGGAATCAGCGCTCGATTGTCCATCGAACTGCATACCACGTTTATCGATATCGAACAATTCATTTTCGACCGTTTTTCGCAAAAATGGAAAGGCTAACCATCACGATTTTTTCCGATTTTGGCCGAAAAATTTTTGTTCGATTTCGACAAAATTGGTATGCAGTTCGATAGACTTTGGGGCGATGATTTCGAAAATGTCAAGCGTTGCCAGATCGGACTACAAACGGCCGAGATATGGGCTCTGGAATCTCTATTTCTGGTCCGATCTGGCAACGCTTGATATTTTCGGAATCAGCACTCGAATGTCCACCGAACTGCATACCACGTTTATCGATATCGAACAATTCATTTTCGACCGTTTTTTCGCAAAAATGGAAAGGCTAACCATCACGATTTTTTCCGATTTTGGCCGAAAAATTTTTTGTTCGATTTCGACAAAATTGGTATGCAGTTCGATAGACTTTGGGGCGCTGATTTCGAAAATGTCAAGCGTTGCCAGATCGGACTACAAACGGCCGAGATATGGGCTCTGGAATCTCTATTTCTGGCCCGATCTGGCAACCCTGCACATTTTCGGAATCAGCGCTCGATTGTCCATCGAACTGCATACCACGTTTATCGATATCGAACAATTCATTTTCGACCGTTTTTTCGCAAAAATGGAAAGGCTAACCATCACGATTTTTTCCGATTTTGGCCGAAAAATTTTTTGTTCGATTTCGACGAAATTGGTATGCAGTTCGATAGACTTTGGGACGCTGATTTCGAAAATGCCAAGCGTTGCCAGATCGGACTACAAACGGCCGACATATGAGCTCTAGAAAGCTCAATTCTGCCCCGATCTGGCAACGCTTGATATTTTCGGAATCAGCACTCGAATGTCCACCGAACTGCATACCACGTTTATCGATATCGAACAATTCATTTTCGACCGTTTTTTCGCAAAAATGGAAAGGCTAACCATCACGATTTTTTCCGATTTTGGCCGAAAAATTTTTTGTTCGATTTCGACGAAATTGGTATGCAGTTCGATAGACTTTGGGACGCTGATTCCGAAATTGCTAAGCGTTGCCAGATCGGACTACAAACGGCCGAGATATGGGCTCTGGAATCTCTATTTCTGGCCCGATCTGGCAACGCTTGATATTTTCGGAATCAGCACTCGAATGTCCACCGAACTGCATACCACATTTATCGATATCGAACAATTCATTTTCGACCGTTTTTTCGCAAAAATGGAAAGGCTAACCATCACGATTTTTTCCGATTTTGGCCGAAAAATTTTTTGTTCGATTTCGACGAAATTGGTATGCAGTTCGATAGACTTTGGGACGCTGATTTCGAAAATGCCAAGCGTTGCCAGATCGGACTACAAACGGCCGACATATGAGCTCTAGAAAGCTCAATTCTGCCCCGATCTGGCAACGCTTGATATTTTCGGAATCAGCACTCGAATGTCCACCGAACTGCATACCACGTTTATCGATATCGAACAATTCATTTTCGACCGTTTTTTCGCAAAAATGGAAAGGCTAACCATCACGATTTTTTCCGATTTTGGCCGAAAAATTTGTTGTCCGATTTCGACGAAATTGGTATGCAGTTCGATAGACTTTGGGACGCTGATTTCGAAAATGCCAAGCGTTGCCAGATCGGACTACAAACGGCCGAGATATGGGCTCCAGAAACCCCAATTCTGGCCTGATCTGGCAACGCTTGGTATTTTCGGAATCAGCGCTCGATTGTCCATCGAACTGCATACCACGTTTATCGATATCGAACAACTCATTTTCGACCGTTTTTCGACTCGATATTATTACAACGCAATATCGATAGTCAATCCGATTCTATTTTGCGCACTACAGCACAGCTGATGTGCTGCAAAGCGCACTATCGCCCACTTGATGAGCTGCAAAGCGCACTATCGCCCACTTGATGTGCTGTAAAGCGCACTATCGCCCACTTGATGTGCTGTAAAGCGCACTATCGCCCACTTGATGTGCTGCAAAGCGCACTATCGCACGTTTATGTGCTGTAAGCGCACTATCGATAGTAAATTACAACAGAGGCGCTTTATAGCGATTGTACATGCGATTGCGCCCTTTTAAATTACCCATAACTAATATAATTTTATAACTAATCTAATAACTAACTAATCTAATAACTAAAACTAATCGCTCATTAATGGCTGTTGACACCCGAAATGCAACGAAGAGGTCTGCCTCTGCCAACCTTTATCTTCTTGGTCCGCTTCTTTCCATGGCTGAAAGAGAAATGATAGATAAATAGAATAATATAGAAAGTCCATTTAAGATTCACAAGAGATTTACTTTTATATGTCATCTTTGTTTTTGTAGCACCATAATAGAGTCGACCGGACTTCGGCGTCGACTTAGTGAGGATGTCTAGCTTGACGATATCTTTTATTATCCTCGTATTCGGTTGTCTAATTCCTTCTTCGACATCTGAGGGACTCCTCTGTGTGATTGCCGATACTTTTTAAACTTCAAACATCGTAAAAGGGGCGCTGAATTGGTCAAAAAAAGGATATTCACGGTTTAACAAGTAAGCTAGTAAGCTTAGAGATGATTAAGAGCGAGAAGCAGTCTTAGAGATGAGTAAAATGGCATAGTAATGTGCAAATAAGCATCGATAGTAACGCGGGCGATATCTTATCGATATCTGTTATTGGCGTTTACCAACACACATGATCTTCCACCTCTATCATGAGTTTTTCGATTGCCCCACATAATTCTCAAGGCGCGTGATTTAAAATATATAATAAGTTATATGATAAGTACCAGATATAATTTTTACCTGGTACTTCGAAATAAATATTCAAATAATATAGGATTGAAATGTTTGGTTTCGAAACGAATCCCAGAATTGGATTTATGATACTACTATAAGATCGTCGGTTGCCTTTAGCTGAATAGGAGATTGCCGACAGGGTAGATTACGCGCTGGAACAGATAGGCCAGTAACTACGCCCTCCTGAGATTCATTTCTGTTGGCTGGACGGTGTCCTGGGTCGACTTGGAAATAGACCCCAACCAAAGGCTTTTATCAATCAATTTGGCTGCAAAGCTGTTCAATGTGCCTTAGCTGCATTGGGCAAAAGGAAAGCTCGGCGCGAGGGAAGAACGACAAGCTGGCGAGCTGTGAACGGAGAGCGTTTAGAAAGCGGCATCGCTGAGCGGTGCGATTTGAAGAGCGTGGAGCTACTGGAGCCGTGGATCGACGAGCGGCGAGCGTGGAGCGGCAATCGTCGAGCTCCCCGAATGCTTTTCAGATACAAAAGCCAGATTCAGATTGCGATTCAGTTAGCGGCCCAAACTCAAAGTGGTCGGTCGGCGCGCGCAGCACTTTCGGAGCGCATTCTCTTACCAATTATTTCGCGATCTACACTTTTGTTTCTGTGCTTTTATTTTTGTTAGTGCCAGAGCGTACAAGTAAATGAATGCTACTAAGCTTCGTATCTGATGACTGGGCCTTTAAGTATTTCCAGCCCGGTATCTGCCGTGTCCGTACTGGTATCTGTATCTGCATCAGTGTCCGTGCATGTATCTGAACGTTGGGCTGTGTGCATCTGCCTGCGGTGGCGAGTGTTACAGTTGTCGCACGTAATAGCGCAGTTACGCCTCAGAAAGCAGCCCAAAAAAGCTGAAGGCACCGAGATACAAAAGTATCTGAGGCATCTCTTCATGCGTGACGCTCGGCGGTTGGGTGTGTGTCTGCCTGGTGTCCAATATACTGGCTACTGTGTACTGTGTACTGTGTATAATGCATGTGTGTTTGTTTAGTCCGGCTTAGCTAACAAATTGGTTAGATAAATTAAGCAAAACTATAAAAAATCTGTGGGTTTCGCGAAATCGAAACGGCAGCGCCGAAACTGAAAGTAAACAACGCCGCGGAAAGTCTGCAGCTCAAACCAGTAAATGTCTGCTTTTTAACCGAATACACATATATATCCAAATATCGTCCATCATCAGCTGCATCATTGTAGTCCGTGTTATCTCGTAGTGGTTTTCGCTACGAAATATGTCACAATTCCGCGATAATTCATGGGTGAGTTGCGATGGAGTCCCTCAAAGGGGTTCGGCCTCTCAAAAGAAACGTAGAAACTAGAAGCCTGACACACTTATCATCGACTAACTGCACCGTAGAGTATCTGCTGGATGCACGCACTCTATCCGCACTAACATCTGCCACAGAAGCTGTCACAGTTTCCTCGCCTTTTGCACAATCTTTAATATACCTCCCTCCTCGCCCCCCCCCGTCAGACTTAATTGGTCCAAATCGTTAATTAACCTGTGTCGCCATCTATAACCCGATTCGATTGGCCAATTGCCCCTTGCATCTCTCGGATGACCCGATTTTCGAATTTTTGCAACGCGCCACTGCAATTTATGGATGGGGCAAGCACTGTCAACCTAAAGTATAGGGTCTGGGGAAAATGTTGCAACATAACTCTGATCTGATCTGGGTGGTAGATTTTTAGAGATCAGTTGAAGATATCATTAGTATTATTGTAATTGTAGTTCAGAGTATTTCTGTATATTTTATTGGGGCCGCGATTTGGAGCCCTCCAGATTCTGCGAGCAAGCTTGCAGTGCGAAAACTTGGCTTTATTATCGCAACGAACAGGTCACAACGGGGTCGAGGTCGCTGGAACCAACCTAATCAAATTTCTCTGCTAATCTACAGCAGTATCGACGTTTAGTTTTAAATTTTTTCGAATGCGAACCAGCGAAAATCGAACAGTATTTGAATAATTTAACGATTAAGACAAACTTTAAATTTTGAATGCAACACCGTGGCCCCAACTGGGTCGGTTGTAGAAACCGTTTGCAACAGCTGTATGGTATTTATGGATCACAAGACATATTTTACCAAAATGAAACACATTTTCTTGGTTTTCATCCTCGAATCCAAGGGGACACAAAGCTCCTCTTTCCATTTCCATTGAGGAATGGAATCTATCTCTTGCGGAATCTCTTTCCCAAATAGAGAATAGTTCTCTGCTTGTTTGAAGGTGTTCCGTTAAGGATCTACGGATCCTATGAGGAAATATACTCTTTTTTGAAGAAAGAAAGCCCCCCATCCCAGCGTATTTACGATTTAGAAAATACCAAGAAAAGATATCGAAATTGCGGCTCAGAGATTGTGCTGGAGAATGATGCAGAATAGTTCTCCGCTTGTTTTAAGGTATTCTGCTTAAGGATCGGATAATCCTGATAGCTTAAGGATCAGGAGGAATCATACTCTTTTTTGGACCACGAATGCCCCTGTTCCCCACGTTTTTCCGTTTTTAAAAGAGGTCCATTTAGAAAAGACCAAGAAAATGTATAGAAATCAAGGGCAAAGTATTGGAAGTCTATGGAGAATGATATATTTTTGATGTAATGAAGCTATGTCCCGTAGTGAGGATTAAACCTTTATTAGAAACATAAGACCACAGTTTTTGCATTATATATTTCGGTGCAACCATGTGGGAGTCAAAATATACGTTTATTCAATGTACAGGCATGCGTTATCGGGGCGATAATCGCATAATGATCCATTAAAATGTGCCAGCTTTTTGGCGCTTTGCGATAAGATCTCCGGGTGGAAGCCCAGCGCCCCGCCCCACACTCCTTGGACTTCTCCACCCCCAACCAAAGAGCCGCGAATAACCAAAACCAGTTGGCCGGCCCCAGCCGATTGCGCAAATGTCGTGTCTGACGTCGCTCGGCGATTATCTCTTTTGGCCGAAATTGGGCTTAGGCCCGGCCCGGCTTTTTGCTGGGGTCGTAAGATGCGCAGGTGCAGGTGCAGATGCAGTCTGCTTCCTGGTGGAAGCCGTCGCCCGGGCTCCAAGTTCAATTGCGGAAAACCGCCGTGGAGGCATTGGCCATGGGGCCCCTCGGAACAAAATAAAAAAAAAGCCACAATGGTCATCAGTAACTTTCACTCAATGTGACGATGGCGATGACGACGATGCTGGATGGCTGCACATTTTGTCATCGTTTTTCATGTGGGAAAATCTGAGGCCAAAAAAAAAAAAAGTGGCTAAAAGTGGAAAAAAAAGGCACATTAGGCGATGGGGAAGTTGTGTGGGGATTTTCGTGGAAGCTGCTGCGTCTGCCCATTTCGGGCGGGCATTGCAAAATTGTTTTCACAACAAGTTGGAGGCCGCTCATGACAATGAACTTTTAATTACCCCGAAGACTCGTTTCGCAAAAGACAGACAAAAAGAAAGACTGCGAAGAAACGAAAGAGTAGGAGTAGGAGCTCATTCAAATGAGGTTCGCGGAAGGAAAACTTAAGAGAGACTCGAAGGAAGAAAGGCACTTTCAGGAGTCCGTGATCACATGCAATTTGGCGGCTGGCCAATTATCCGTGAAACCATCGCCTCATTGTGCATGGGGCTTTCTGGTTTTCGGTCCCTGGAAAAGGCCCCCGAAAAGGCCCTCCCCTTTCGGCCAGATTAGATTTCAATTGAAGATTGACTTCGTGATTTTCGAGATGGAAACTGGTTGGCGAAATTATGAGTAAGCCAGTAATCGGGCTGCAGTTGCATGATTAGATTTCGGCCAGCAGACGGAGATACTTTCCCTGGGCCGGCTGGGAAGATTAAAAAACAATTGATGTTTGAATCAGAGCCTCAACTTCCTGTTTCCTTGGTAACCTTCCATTTCAGTCTAATTAGCTAGAATTAAGGGCCTCGGCGAAAGCCAGCCCAGCGACGCTTTCTTTTGGTATCTTTGCATCCATAAAGTATTGCCAACAAACTCCCTTGCCGGCTTATATAAGCCAACTAACTACTCTGCCAAGTATCTCGCCCGTCAAAAGATACATCTGCTATTGCTGCAGTACTGCTGGCAAAATACGAGTGTGGAGATAAATGAAATTTTGCGACAATTAAACAGTGAAAGTCGCTAAAATGGATCGTGGTGGCATTAGCCATTACCCCGACTTGTTATTATAGTTGCTCTTTTTTACGGTTTATTTATTTTGTGTTCGCGGCTGCCTGGTGATGCGAAAGATTTCTTAATACATGTCCACATACATATGTACATGGCTAATAAAAAGAAAACCCGCTCAAGAAATATGACCAGAAAGATAGGCCACTTTTTACTAGATTTGTTCAAAGTTGGCGGTTACTATTTTCGTCGAATTTTCGCGCCAGAGACTCTGACCTTCAGGGGTATGGACTTGATTTTGGTGAAGATCATCGGGCAGGGCTGGGCCCGAAACTCTCAGCGCCAGTCGGTGGTGTTCCAGCCAAGTCACGTTCAATGCTAGGTGTATGTGGGTATGTGGAGCAGCATTAACGGTAATTGATTTTCGGCCCAGACTGTGACCGAACCACAGTCGAGAAACCAAAGAAGACCAAACGAACGAAAACAAACATCAAATGGTAACAAAAACGTGCTGAGACTACGGCTCTGACCTCATTAAGTCCACGGAGCAAATGCCAAAGCCAGAGCCACTGTGCCGAAGGCAACAGCAAGTGTATCTCGCAGATACTCAGACAATGGGTCT